TAATTCCTGGAAACAGCAGGCAGTTGACCCCACCTCCTTTCAGAGTGACCCAGAGGAGAAGCCAGGCCACGGACCAGGCAAGGTGTACATCGCCACCCAGGGCTGTCTGCCAACTACGGCGGCTGCCTTCTGGGCCATGGTGCACCAGGAGAACACGCGTGTCATCGTCATGACCACCAGAGAGGTGGAGCGAGGCCGGGTAGGGGCTCAGGCTCGTGTCCCTCCCCTCTGCCTGCCGCATGCCCCACTGGACCGGTGCTGGTGCTGGCCCAGCCTTGCTTCTTCAGTCTTAGGGATGCTGGGGGAGCAGGGAGGGCACTGAAGAGACCCCGTGTGTGTCCCACGGGGCAGAGAGGCAAGGGTGCTGGTGGTCTTCCAGTATGGCTGATGCCATGCCCCCACCCTCCCAGAACAAGTGTTTCCGATACTGGCCAGAGCTGCACAGCAGCCAAGCGTATGGCCGCCTGCGTGTGTGCAACGTTGCTGAGCACCAGGCCCAGGGCTATTGTGTGAGGGAGCTGCAGGTGTGGCGGGCAGACCAGGTGAGCCTGGAGGGCAACGAGACCTGTGGGGCCAGGGTCAGAGTGGTCGGGAAGTCCCCAGGTCTGCGCTGGGGTGAGGAGGCCCTGGGCTGGCCCTGGTGGCTTGCACGTCCCTCAATCCAGTGGGCACAGTCTTGGACTGGGCTCTGCTGGGCAGTGTTTCCAGTCGGGCACGTTCTCAGCCACAGTTGCCTGGCTCCAGGGCGGCCTCACACCCACATGCACCTCTCCCTCCAGCCCCCCCTGGGCCGTCTCAGCACCTTCGGCCTCCTTTGTACGCTGGTGGTGCCCATTCCTGTCCCAGGCACAGATCCCTCCTGGCCAGTTCCCTTTGTCTAAGCACCTGGGGGTCCTGCCAGCCTCTGCATTTGGCCTTTCCCAAATCGAATTCACTTCCCAGAAAGCTGCTCTCTCCCCCAGACCATCTTTCTTCCTTTCCCCAGGCACCTGAGCCTCCTGGGGCCATCTGGGGGGTCCCCCAAGCCCTGAATCCCATCTTTTCCTCCCACTCCCTCTTGCTCTGTCCGGGCCCCGCTGGTCACTCCTTCTGGCAAACCCCACCGCGCCACAGCCTGCCTCCTCCCGGTTCAGTCCCTGGGCCCCTCCCCACCGAGGGTCACAGCAGCGTCAGCCCCGACACTGCGCGGAGCGCCTGGGACCCGCCCAGACCCCCCGGCTGGCGCTCACCAGCCCGCCCTGCCCAGGAGGAGTCACCGCGCACAGTGGCGCACTGCCAGTACTTCGGCTGGCCGGACCACGGAGTCCCGGCCGAGCCCACCGGCGTCCTTGGCTTCCTGGACGAGGTGAACCGGGCCCAGAGCGGCATGCCGGGGGCCGGACCCATGGTAGTGCACTGCAGGTGCGACCAGGGACGGGGCGGGGCCAGCGGCACAGGTGCCACCGGGGAAGGGGCCACGGCTTTGTCCCGTCAACTGGCCACAGGCCTCCTGGTCCGTCCCCACAGCGCCGGCATCGGACGCACCGGCACAATCATTGTGATTGACATCCTGGTGGACGTCATTCGCAGGCAGGGTGAGCCACCTCAGGCAGGCCCCGCCCCGCAATCGAGCCCCGCCCCTCCCATCTAGCCCCGCCCCGGTACCGGCCCCTCCCCTTCCATCTAGCCCCGCCCTCCTTCAATTGCCGGCCCCGCCTATTTCATCTGGCCCTCCCACCTCCTCCCTGCCTCACCGCCCCGCCCTGAGCTCGCTCGTCCCCAGGGCTGGACTGCGACATCGACGTCCCCAAGACGATCCAGCATGTGCGGCGGCAGCGCTCGGGGATGGTGCAGACCGAGGCGCAGTACAAGTTCGTGTACCTGGCGCTGCAGCGGTACATCCGGGGCGAGCAGCTACGCCTGCGCGAGCAGGTGGGGGCAGGGCCGGGCCGGGGCGGAACCTGCGGGGGCATCACCATGGTGACCAGCGGCCCCTCCCCTCAGCGCGAGTCGCCCGAGGAGCGCGACTCCCTGAAGGCGGGCGCCTCGCCCGCCGACCCCGGCTGTAGCCCCGGAACCGCGCCGTCCCGGGCGCCGGCGGCGTGAGTGGGGCGTCAGGGACCGGGGGTGGGGGTGGGGCGGAGTCCCAGCAGGGAGGCCTCGGGGGCGTGGCCCGGGCGTGGGGGCGTGGCCCGGGGCGAGGGGGCGGGATCGCAGGTGGCCCCCAGCCGAAGCCCGTCTCCGCCCGCAGCACCCCGGAGGCCTCCGGCCACGTGTACGAGAACCTGCTGCGCCTCTGGCCGTGAGGGCCCCGAGTGCGCGCGCCCCGATTGGGGCTGGAGCCGTGCGAGAAGGCGGGAGCCCAGCAAGGCCGGCCCTCGCGTTCCTCCAAAGGACTGTGTTTAGGATTGTGCAGACCGGCGCCCAGCCCAGAGCGTTGCGGGGTTGGGGGGCGGGGGTCCCGGGTCTGCCGCTCAGACCCTCCCTGACCAGGTCTGCACGTCCAGAAATGGTGAGGGAAGGTTAGGAGATCCGGTGTCCCTGCCCCTCCTGGAGGAGGGGAGGAAGGGCTGCAGGGCTGCGGTTTGTCTCAGTGTGGGAGGCCACCAGTGACCACCTGCACGGCGCAGTGACGATGTGTGACCTTTTGTGTGCCACACGTTTGAGTGTCAGCCTGTATGTGGGACACGAGTGACCAGCAAGTGAGTGCCAGTCCGTGGTCACCAGCGTTTGTGCCCCTCTCGCCTGCATCCTGCATGCTCCCCACCCCTTCCAAGCTGCTTCTCAGCCCTGCCCACAGCCGTGGTCTAGGATGTGGGCCAGGCAGTGGCTCCGTCCCTGCCGTGTCCAGGCCTAGCCCAGACCGTCACGTTGCTGTCACGAGTGGACACGTGTTTGTTGAATGAGAGAATATGTGACGTGCTCGTGTGACCACGGAGACGAGGGCGAGGCTCCACGTGTGCCTGGCTGGTTTGTGATGGTGTGATGTCACTGGCCTGTGGTCCATGGCTGCACCCTCCCATCATGGATGTCCCTGTGGCTTTGTGGTCTCAGTAAAATGCCTTCTTCTCAGTTCTGCGTCTTTGTTGGGGCCTGGAGAAAGAGAGCATGTGGGTCCCCACGACTGGGCCCAGCTTCCCCAGGGTGTCCCTGAGCCAGAGGCCCAGCTGGTAGGAGCAGGAAATCCTGGGCTTTGGGGTGAGGGGTGAGGAGGCTGGACCTGTGCGAGCCAGACCGGCCTCACCTCTCTGCCATGCCAAGCTGGCAGTGCAGGATTCCTGGGGCTGAGGGCAGAACCGGGTGGGGGAGGGGTGGGGGCTGGCAGGACTCCCGCCCGCCCTCGCGACACTCGCTTCACCAGCCAGGCCTGGCCCGGCCCGGGAAGGTCTGCTGGAGGAGCCTGGGGTCTGTGGGTCTTCAGGACACGCTGGTTGTCACCAGCCCCTCTTCCGTGCACACTTGGACTTCGGTTCCTGGGGGCCACGGGGTCCTGCGGCCCTCCAGTCAGGGCTCCAGGCGGGACTGTGGGGCCGTGACTTCTGGGGGAGGCGGCCTGGTGTGACCGTGGTGGGGGCTGGTGGGGAGGCCCCTGGACCAGGCCAAGGCCCCACAGCAGTCCCGCCTGCCTCAGGTGCCCCAGGCCCTCTCCATCTCCCTGGGAGAGCCTCACGGCCCCCGGGGGCAGCCAAGTCCAGAAGTGCCGCAGCCCATCCACAGCCCAGAGGGGACAGCAGTCGGACGCCCTAGAACCTGCGGCCATCCACCCTAGGTGCTGCTGGGAGTGCAGTCCAGTGGGGGTGTCCTCTGGATTGAGGGTCTTTGCAGAAGGGGCAGACTGGGGGTTTTTCTGGAGGGAGGGGCTTAATGGTGCAGGAAAGAGGACACAGAGAGTGAGGACCCCTTACCAATTGCGAGTACAAAATAGTTTATTTAAAAATGTACAGTTCAGGAGGGTGGGCTGGGCTCCCCGCCACTGCCCTCTGTCCCCCTGGCCACCCGAGGGAAGGGGCCAGCCCTGCCTGGGGAAGGGAGGAGCCGTGGGCGAAATGTGAAAATAAAAGAAAAATGGCGAGCCCGCTCCCTTTTCAGCAAGGGGCTGGTCTTGCGTGCGATTCACAGTGTGTATGGGGAAGGGGCCTCGCCAAGCTCTCTCCCGGACCTCGGTCTTCCCATCTGCAAGATGGAAGTTAGGGGGGCGGCCTCTGGGGCCCACAGGGATCTGGGATCTCTGGGAGCTCGGGGACCATTTTGTCCACCCGACAGGAGCCAGCCCCAGAGAGCGGGGGCAGGTGTGCCGAACCGGGTGTGGGTTCCTCAGACATCCCAGGGGGCTCCTCTGGGATCCCAGGGGTGGGGGCGGTAACCCTAGTTGTCAGCCAGGGACCTGAGCGAGAAGGTGGCGGCGGCGGGGGCGGTGGCAGGGGGTGGCCGGGGGAGGCAGTGCAGGCTTCCGGTCCTGAGTGCGCACTGCACGGGCCAGAGCACCACGCAGAAGAGTGCGAGCAGCAGCACGGCGATGAGTGCCGCGCGCCTCCAGTCCCTGCGGCGGGCCCAGCAGCGGGCCAGGCAGCCCGGACGGCGGGCAGGGCCTGGGGTGGGCACGGGTGCTGCGGGCGTGGCAGGCTTGCTCGGGCTCACGTCCACGTACACAAAGCCGGGCGCCGCAGGGCCAGGCACAGAGGGTGGCGGGCGGCAGCACAGCTTGGTGCCCTCCAGCCACACGGGCTCCTCCCGCCGCAGGTGTGCTGGCATCCGAGCCTGCAGCTGGCGGCTGGTGTGCAGCGCGGGGGCCCCGGCAATGGGCACGGCTGTGGGCCGCCGGCAGAACGGGCAGGGCACGACCTCGCTACCCGGCTGGCCTGCGGGCCGGGCGGCTGCCATCCGCGCAAGGCACTCCAGGCAGAAGACGTGGGTGCAGGAGAGCTCCTTGGGTGTCCTGAAGATGTTGTCGTAGCCCGAGAAGCAGATGGAGCATTCCAGCGGGGAGGCCGTCTTCTCTGATCCAGGGCTGCCGGGGGACCTGGGGCTGCCGGCCGAGCCGCGGGACCTGGGCACTGTGGCGGTGGGGCTGCTCCTGCCGGCAGGCGGCAGGGCCGTGTGCCACACCTGCGGGCCTGATGACATGGTTCTGGGCTGTGGGACAGAGACCCCTGTGAGTGACCTCGATTGCCCCTTTCCTGCAAGGTCTGTCTGTCGCTGTCTCCCCGTCCCTCTCTTGCATCACCCAGAGATTCCGGGAAGGACACTGCCCATCTGCAGGCACCCCCACCAAGTCCCACCTGTCCCTGGCTCAAGGTCTTTCTGCTCAAGTTGTAACCCTGCGCTCCCCAGCCCCTCACCTGCTGAGTCAGGGCTCAGCATCCTGGGGTGTCCCAGTCTGCCTGGGCCATGTGGACCACTGCTCTGTAGACCCCTCCCACCAGCCCTGGCCTACCTGGACGTGCCACTGGGCAGAAATAAAGGTGATGATGACGATGGCCCACAACAGTTACTATTTACATCGCGGCTCTGCCAGGGTGGGCCCTGGGCACATGACACAGAACAGCCACGGTGCAGAAGAGGTGGCTCGGAGGCTGGGGTGACAGCCAGCGGGGCCCAGGCTCTCACAGGAGGAGTGTGGCTCTGGGTCAGGTGAAGTGGGTTTGAACACAGGTCCCAGTGTGGGCGGCCGATTTGGTTGGCACGCACCCGATATGCGGGCAGTTGTGTGAGGGTGGGTGCCAGGCCTGGCTGGGTGAGGGCTGGGACTCTGGATCTAGAGCCGGCCTGAGCTGGCTGCGCTGCGGGAGACTGGAGGGCCCGAGCAAGGGTGGTGGCCGTGGCCCGAGGAGGAGGTTTGTCCCCCAGCCACGGCCTGAACCTGCAGGGCTGCCTGGTGCTGGCCCTCAGGGCCTGGAAGTGACCCTCAGCCTGTGGCCAGGGGAGCGGGGGGCGGGGTGCTGGATGAGCCCCAGCCATCCTCCCTAGGCCGGCCCGCCACCTGGGAGCGTCACACCAGCCACAGCTGCCATCAGGAGGCAGTGGGACGTTCTCCCCCTTGCCTGCTGCCCCTTCACGGGGCCCAGGTCTCCTTCCCAGACAGCCACGTGGCTCCTGCTTGGAGGAGGGCGGGTAAGGGGCTGACTCGCCCTTCACCTTCACGACGGACGGAGGAGGCCAGGGCCTTGGGAAGACGCTGGCCACGTGACCCCATGGAGCCCAGGAGGCCCCCCAGGGGTGACCTGACCCTGACTTGCTGGTCAGTCCAGGAGGGATGGTGGGATGACTTCGCAGTGACGTGTCACGAAGGCTCAGGGGTTGCTGCCTCCTGCCGGTGACCGCCGTGAATCACGGTGACATCACTGTGATGTCACCAGTGCCCCGGCATCGCAGCATGAAGCGTCATTACGTTTGGTGACAGCAGTTGCCACAGGCCAGGCGGCAGCCTCAGCAGGGTCTGGGGGTACTGCAGGCTGTCCTCCCCCAGCCAGTTCACCCCACATAACCGGTTCCTTGGCACGGAGGCCCCACCCCTCTGAGGAGGTGCCCCACCCTGAGCCCGTACAGGTGAGAGGTGAGTGCCAGCTGAGCCAGCCTTACCTGGTAGCCGGGGTCAGCGGGGCCCAGGCACGACCCTCTTGGCTGGCACGGCCAGGCTGCGGCCGCGAGGTCACTCGTCCTGGCAGCGCTGGGTCCTTCCCCTCCCGGCCTGGCTGCTGTTCCTCTCCAGGGCCGCCGGGGGGGGGGGCGGGGGGCCGGGGGGCGGGTGTGTGCACTCCTCCAGGTGTGGAGCGCTGTCTGAGGCGGGTGTGAGTTCTCTGGGCGTGGGCTCCCGGCAGGTGTATTTATACACTTGCTGGGATCATGCTGGCCGGGGGCGCGGCCCGCTTCCAGGATTGGCTGGCCTTCTGTCCTGTCCCTGGCAGGCTGGGCAGTCAGCCGAGGGCGGGGAGTCAGAAGTGAGAGGTCTGGGGTGGAGCCTGGGGTGGGGCTGGGGGTCGGTAGGGCTCTGTAGTCTGGGCAGGTCTGGGGAGGTGGCTGGATGCCTGGGTGAAACCTCTCCCCTACCCCCGTGGCCCCTGAGATGCCGGAGCAGCCCCTCCGGAAACAGATCTGCTCACCAACCCTGTTCCAGGTGGCTGCACCTGAGCTCCTGGGTGGGCCCCCCGGAGGGTCCCTGCCAGGAGCCCCCCACTCACGATCAGCTCACTGATATGCTCCCCGAGCAGCCCCTGCCCCTCGCCCCAACACCTGCCTCATCCGTGTGTCTGCCCACCTCAAACTTGGGCTTCTGCTGCCCCCGCCCATCCCTCCCCACCTACAGCCTTTGGGGGCCGGGAGGGAGCTCCCTGCTCTGGGTCCAGAGAGTGGGGTGAGGGGTCAGGGCTGGGAGCACCCAAGGGCTGAGCCAGGGGTGAGGGCGGGCCAGGCGCCGGGCTGGCCACATGAACTTGTTTCAGGGGAGCGTCTGCTGGGACACCTCAATTACACATGTAGGGCAGGGACTCCAAGGCAGCGCCCACCCAGCCAGGGGAGCTGGAAGTCTCCCGGGGGACGGGGAGCGGTTTCAGCCAGTAGGTACGGGGTCCCAGCAGACCACAGGGCCAGCCTGTGCAGAGGCCTGGCTGGAGGGCAGGATGCAGGGGGTGAGGGCTGGGCTGGAGGGGCCCGGGTCCTAGCCAGGGGCTCCCCCATCTGACACCTGATCCTGGCCCCAGGGTCACAGCAGGCTCTCCCCCACGCCCCGTGGCTTCCCTGCCCCCACCCCGCAGCCGCACGCAGCACACCTCAGTGACCACCTGATCTAGACTTGGGGCCCAGCCCTCCTGAGATGGGACCCCAGTCACGAGCCTCTGGGGAGGGGATGCTGGGCTTGGCGAGGCTGGCAGCAGCGGTCCACCCTGGTGGGGGACGGCCCACCTCATCCCCACCCACCGGGCAGGGGCCCCCTGACTCCTCAGCGGGTAGTCCAGGACCCCCGGAGGCTGCCCAGCCCCAGTAGCACTAGGAGGGGCACTGACAGCCAACAGAAGTCAGAGGTCAGCAAGAGGAAGACCCTCCCTCAGCGTTAGGAGGTGGGTGCCCAGAGCAGGCTGCCTGGGCCAGACCCCAGGAGGAGCCACAGCGGGCTGGGGGGGCAGCCAGGCCTGCAGCCACAAGGAGGCTGAGCTGTGGGGTGGCTGCAGGGGCGGAGGGGACCTCGGCTTAGGAAGGGGCTGGGGCTCCCGTGTGCTCCAGGAAGGGGGAGGAGCCTCAGCCAGGGGCTTGACGAGGGGGTGAGGAGTCTCTGTGAGGGGCGGGCCAGTCCGTGCGAGATGGGACTCGGGGTCGGTCACATGCTGCCTCCAGGAGGCATCCTCGGTTCTCTGAGAACACCTTCCCAAGGGCTCCTGGGAACCTCCGGGCTCCTCAGTGGACAGTCAGTGCCCAGAGGCAAGGGGACAGGAACACCTGAGGGATGTGCCATCTGCAGTGGTGGCCAGGGCTCACCGCACGGGATCTCAGCACATTTGGGGCCCACCTGGTCCCCACACACCTGCTTGCTCTCCACATTCACGAGGGAAGAGCAGCTGCTCCAGGTGTGAGCGTGGGCTTCGCCTGAGTGGGTGAGCTGTTCACCAACCCAACCCGGCTAGGTGTGTGAGCACACGTGTGCAGGTGTCTGCGTGCGCGTGCAGGTGTGTGCACGTGTGAGGGGAGCACGGTGGCCAGCACGTGACCCTGGGGCTGGGACTCACTTGCCGGACCAGGCAGAGAACGAGGCCCACGGCGACCGCCCCTGTCCAGTTGCGGCTCTCAGATGTGGGGTCCCGGAGTCCTCAGGACACCTGGGAGTCCTGGGCTGGACACAGAAGCTGTCCTTGGCCAGAGGGGCAGGAGAGAGGCCTGCCCCCCAAGGGGTGGGGTGAGGACCAGCTTCAGATCCCTGAGGGCTGCCGGGGGCACATGAAATGGCCAGTGTGGGGAGAGGTCCCCACACGGGTGTAGAGTCTGGTGTCCCCCACAGGCCAGAGGCTGGGCTGAAGCCGGGGCTCGGGGGACGCACTTGCGCCCGGCCCCCCCCCGGCCCCCCCATCCCCACACACACTCTGGGCTCCCGACAGGCTTGGTGAGGCCCTCTGGCCATGAGGGGACTCCTCCGGTCCTGTCTCTCCAGCACCCAGCAGTGAGCTTGGTCCCCAAAGTCGGCCTGGCCTTGGAAGCCGGCTCCTACTGGGGCCCGGCGCCCAGGCCCCTGCCAGGCCCTCTGCCCTCGGGTCACCCCCTCAGGCCCTGCTCGCCCTGCCGTGCTGCCACCTCCCACCTCTGCAGTGGGTACGGCCTCTTGCTGACCTCTGACTTCTGACAGCTCTGGGTGCTCCTCCAGCGCTGAGTGAGCGGATGAATGGACCAGCGAGCTGCAGCGTGGCCCCCGGGCCGGGCTCACCTCCCGGGGCAGGGGTCCCCGTGGCGGTTGACACAGTGGGGCTGGGGGGACGACGGGCGCCCCACCTGCCTGCTTTGGCCCGAACTGATTAGCCCACAAATCGGCCTTATCTTGGCTTCTTACATGAGGGCCTGGAGTCCGGGTGAGGAATGGGTGACGGAGAGAAACTGGGGAGGCGGCTGTGCGTGGTGCCCGGCCCAGACGCCCTGCGCCTGCCAGCTGCCCCACCCCCATCTCGGGTGCCCCCCAACCCTGCCCACCGCTTTCTGGCCAGGATGCCCATCAGGGTCACGGGCTCACGAGTCCAGTGATGCCCCCCCAACTATTTGGGGGCCTGAGACAGTCGCACCCAGGCCCAGGGGTCTCCGGCGGCTGAGAGCCCAACGGGCCAGGCCACATAGGCCTGGGAAGTCAGGGGAAGCATCTCACGTGTGGGGACCAGAGGGCTGCAGGCTGAAATGCAGAGTTGAGTTTTGCTGCCGGGGATGGGGCAGGGCTGAGGCTGGGGGCTGCAGGCAGGGCAGGGGACAGGACATTAGAGAAGAGGGGCTCTAGGGGGCCCCGGGGAAGCCGAGGGTCATCTTGCGCCCACAGGAACCCCATGGGCGACCCACAGCCCCTTAAGGCTGTCAGCCTGGAGGCAGGAGGTTCCCGGGCAGCCGCCCCCCAGAACAGAGGGCAGAGCCTCCCCGCAGCCCTGGCTGTGCTGACGCAGCACCCAGGGCCAAGCAGACGCCCCCCGGGTGCCCCGATGGCTGCAAGCCTGACGAGGTGGGCCAGGCTCTCTGCCCTGCCCCAGCTGTGTCCTGGCGGCTCTGGCTGGGACACCCGGGATGAAGCCCACTGCCAGTCGGCAAAGGCCCCTCCGAGGGCCACCCACCCATGGGACCCCACCTCCCCAAGGTGCCGCCAGCCTGCACTCTGTACCCGCGTGTAGCTTCCTCCTGGGGGCTGTGAGCCGGGCACCACGGTGACCTCCCCGAGAGGCCCCATGGGTGCCCTGGCCGCACGGGGGCCTGCAGTCACCCGTGACTGCATGTCCCCCATGGGCCCGGTCACTTTACAGAAAAGCCCCCCTGGGGGCACCCACACTCTTTCCCATCTCAGTCCTGACGGCTGGGGGCCACCAGGGACTCCTGCTCTCTGAGGCAGCTTGGGACAAGCCCCCTTCTCCCGAGGCTAAGATCCTGAGGGCTCCCTGCCCTCCCCAGTGCGAGGCAGGGCTCCGCAGCAAGGCTCCACCCCTGCTGAGGAGCTGGTGAACCTTGGGCCGGCGAGAAGGGCCTGAGTGGTTTATTGACGCTGATTTCAGGTGGCCGCCCCTCTCAGCTGCCGGTCAGTCATCGTTCATGTCCTGGCGACCGAGCTTGTGTCCATAAACCACAAACACCGCAGTGGGAATCCCAGTGCAGAAAGCAGGAGGCTGGCCACACAGGCCCTGCCGTGGGCCCCGCGGACATGGACCAGACACCGGAGGAGAAAACGTCAGTCCCCGTGGAGGCTCTGGGGAGGCCAGGCAGCACCCTGCCCGTGCTCAGTGGGCACCCCGACGCTCCCCCATTTCCACAGGAACCCAGAGCCGTCCCTCCGCAACCGGCCGAGGCAGGGAACACGGGCTGCTACCTCGGGGCAGGGGCAGCGGGACAGGACTGCTGGCCAGGGCGGCCCTCGGCAGGTCCAGCGAGACAGCCAGTCCAGGCGGCAGTCACAGGTAAACGTGGCCCCGGGTTGACACGTCCCTGGGGGGTCTCGACCTCCAGCAGCTTCGGGCCAGTGTCCATCCCAAGGCGGATGAGGACCTCAAGTGCCTGGGGCCCAGGCGGGGTGCAGACGACGGCAGCGTGCCTCTTGGACTTCTATGCAAAGTGCTTTCTGCTTAAGCACAAGTAAGAGTCAGCAGAAGGCCAGGTGACTCACTCCTGCAGCGCCTGGAAGTGGGCAGCTGTGGCCGTGCAGGACAGCCCTGCGGGCGCCTGAGCCCGGGGGCCGGTTTGCAGGCCCCAAACTGCCTGTGTGTGGATGCGGCCGGACCCCGCAAAGGCCTCGGCCTCACTGCTCTCAGAGGGGGTGCGGGGGGTCTGCCCACCATGGGCTCCAAGGTGGAGGGGCACCCGGGTCCTGCAGGTCGTCTCTCCCGAGGAGCCTGGACCCCACGCGGCCTGGTTCCCTGGCCCGGCTCAGGGCCAGAGGCTGGAGTGCTGCCCCGGGTCAGTCACGCTGAGCGGCTGTGTGCTCTGAGGAAGGCCTGCGGGCAGGTGGCTCTCACTCCACATCTGTGGCTAGAGAGGGACGAGCCAGGGCCGTGTGCAGGCCTGTCCTGAGGCCTCGCTGGGCAGCGCCCAGCCTTCGTGTGGGCCCCCCCTCAGCAGCACGCGGGGCTGTGGATGGGCCGCGGGATCAGACGTTGCTCACCCGGGCCTCCACGGAAGAGACGGCAGTGGGGCCCACGTCCCTGTCCGAGGGCCGCTCGCGCCGGACGTAGCGCGGCTTCCGCACTGAAACAGGGTCAGAGACAGGCGAGATCAGAGTGGGGCCTGGGGCGGCAGGGAGGGCCTGGGGTCGTGGGCCTCCCTGGGGCTCACGGGAGGGGGGCTGGAGCAGCCTCCAGGGAGGAAGCCCACCGGGCTCCAGCTCCCGGACACCTGGCGCCCCTCGGCCCGGGAGAGGGCCCGGCTCTCCCGAAACACAAAGGCACAGGTCATGTGATGCGCTGCAGGGTGGATGGTATCCCCCCAACTACAAACGCATGTCCACGCCCTAAGGCCCAGAACCTGCGGGTGCAACCTTACTTGGAAAAATGGTCTCTGCAGATGTGATTATCTGATGGGCCCTAAATCCAGCGACCAGTGGCCTCGTGAGAGGGAGGGAGACACAGAGGGGAGAAGCCAGCGGAAGATGCAGCAGCGGCTGGAGGGATGCGGCCCCAAAAGCCCAGGGACGCCTGGAGCCCCAGAGGCTGGGAGAGGCAGGAAGGACCTGCCCCAGAGCCTCCGGAGGGAGCAGGTGGCCTCCAGAACCGTGAGAAAAGACATTTCTGTTCTCCCGAGCCCCCGGCCGCCCCAGGAGACTGACGCAGGCACCTTGTGCTTGGACATGGCGCTGCTTTGGAGAGATCAGACAAGTGTCTCACTGGACAGGGCAGATCCCGCCTTGACCGAGGGACTTCTCTGTCCCCAAGGAGGAGGATGTCCTCACCTGTCCCCATTCCAGACCTCCACACGGTGGCAGGAACACGGTCTGGGGAAGAGGCAGGTGGCCTGTGTGACGTGACCTCTGTGCTCACAGGGTCAACTGTGACACAGCTACTGCTCAGGAGGGACCACGGGAGGGCCCCGTGCCGGCCACTGGCTCCCTGCTCAGGCAGAGCTGGGACCTGGTGGAGGGCTGAGGGCGGCAGGGCTGACCCCTGACCCGTGTTGGGAACACCCCGCCCCCCTCAACAGACACAGCATCTCAGGAATAAAAGGAAAAAGGCACGAAAGCTGTGGATGATGAAGAGGGGCTTGGCCAGCACCCCTGCAGCGGCCATGGGCCTGGCGTTTTGAAATTCCCACGAGAGACGAGGCATCCCGACAGAGCGAGCGACAGGAAAGCACTGACGCACCTGAGGACGGAGGTGGGGGAATCATCGCGGCCTTGAAAAGGGGAAAAGGCACAGTGAGAACTGGAGATGGGATGGCCCCCAGCCCAGACACACAGACACCCAGACGCACACACACGGGGCCTCAGCCCGCCTATCAGGTACTTACAGCTTCGCCAGGCTGCAGGCTGGGGGCTGTAGGGGAGAGCACAGGTGTCACCTGGAGGCCACACAGCTGCCTCAGCCTGGGGGGCCCTCAGCCTGGGCGGGGGTCCCTCAGCCTCGGGACAGGGGTCTCTCAGTCTGGGAGGGACCCTCAGCCTCTGCTGCTGGGCCCTCAGCTTGGGCAGGGGTCCACAGGCCTGAGGTGGGGGTCCATCAGCCTGAGGGTTCCACAAGCCTGCAGAGGGTCCCTGGCTCCAGGCTCACTCCAGTCCCTCACTCCTGTGCCCAGCGGTGCCCTCAGCCTGCCCGGCCCCATCTCCCACCACACTCCGGTGGTGTCCCGCCAGCGCTCTGGGGCCAGCCGCCCCCACCCCCAGCTTCCCACCAGAGCAGACAAGCCGGCCTGCAGAGTGTCTGCCCCCATCACCCTCCACACTGAGACCCCACGACATCCACCCAGAGCACTCCCAGGACGTGACCGCCCCTCTTATCCTCAGGCCCGAGAGCCACGTGACAACCCAGTCCCCTCCAGGGTGCCACAGATGCGGCCTTGCACCGGACACCTGCATCTCGGCCCCAGCCCCGCTCCGTGCCCCCGGGCACACCCTGGCAGGAGGGGTACCTTTGTTTCTTCCATAGAAGACGTCAGGCAGCTTACTGGCACGCTTGAGGTAGAAGAATGCAGCCACGGAGAGGATGAGGCCCGAGCTGATGAGAAACGTCCCCAGGAAGAGGGAGGCTGCCACCTGGGGGCCCCCTGCAAGCGAGGTGAGGGCTGCCAGGGGTGCACACCTGGGCTCCCGCAGGGGCCAAGGGGTTCACACACAGGGGTGTGGGTCCCCCCTGCACTCGCACTGCCCAGGCCTCAGGTTCTCCGGGGCGTGGGCTGTCAAGACGTTCAGTGATCCTGGCCCCCGAGCCCCCCATCTCCTCCCTTGACACTCAGTGCAGACTCTGGGGCCCCCGTGGCCCTGGCGTGCGGATACACCCCACCTTGCCTCTCTGGAGCTGGTCAGCTGTCACCCGGGGTGGCCCTCCCAGCACCAAGATGCCTGCTGTCTTCACCTCCACAGGTTCAGGCGGGCCGGCGGGCAGATGCCCAGCTGGAGGCTCTGCGTTTAGGTGCCCGTGGGAAGCGCCTTTCTGACCCTGACACACAGGCACAAGGCCGGCCACGCTAGAGCCTCAGGATGGACGGGTTCCAGCTACACCGCCCCAAACTTGCCAACTGGAAGCGGGCTCAACACTGGACTGCAGGGGCCTCATCTGCCACCCTCTGCTGCAAGGCCCAGGCCCACATCGCAAGAAGCTGGGGCTGTCTGGGCCCACCCTGCCCCAAACACTGCTGGTCGGCCCACGCCAGCACAAGGCCACTTGCTTCCGGTCCTGAGACTCGCAGGGAAGGCCTGAGCCGTTGGTCTAGGTCAACGTGTCCTCTGCTGAAGGACCAGGATCTGGGGGGTCATGACCCCCATCGCAACCCAGTCACCTCAGAAGAGGTGGCTACACCCTGGGGCAGGTCCCGCACCGTGACTGCAGTGGTCACTGGTGGCCTGGGCACCACACCCCCGCAGCCTGGCCACTCCCTGTGGCTCGGCCAGCGTCTCAGGTACGACAGGACACCTCGCAGCAGGAACAGGCGGGGTACCAGGGCGTCTCCCGTGTCTGCACCTGAGGACCAGGTGGTATGGAGGGCATGTCTGCCTGCCTACAGCGTCTCAGTCCCCTCCAAGACCTATGTCCTAGAAGAGCCACCGGGGACGGTGCAAGGGGACTTCAGATGCCCTCCCACCTTGGAGAACTGCACATCCTGAGCTCCCAGGGACCAAGGGGCCGGGGGGCCTCTGAGCCAGGCAAAGGGTTAAGACATGCAGCCCATTCAGAGGCACATGGGGGTCCACGCCAAGCGACCCCAGCCGCACCCACCCTTTTATTTATTTATTTTTTGCGGTACACGGGCCTCTCACTGTTGGCGGCCTCTCCCGTTGCGGAGCACAGGCTCCGGACGCGCAGGCTCAGCGGCCATGGCTCACGGGCCCAGCCGCTCCACGGCATGTGGGATATTCCCGGACCAGGGCACGAACCCGTGTCCCCTGCATCGGCAGGCGGACTCTCAACCACTGCGCCACCAGGGAAGCCCAGCACCCACCCTTTTAAATCAAGCCCAGACCCTGACTTCAAAGCCGGCCGAGCTTCCATGCCGTCCGGGGTCCTGCTCCGTGACCAGGGCTGGGTCCTGGTACAGAGCTCTTGTCTGGGGCGGAGCCTGCCCTTGACTGTGGACGTGGCCCTGCCGTGGCCAGCATCGGCGATTGGGTCTGCGCTGGGAATGGCTCTGATGGTGCCCTTGTGTCCCCCGGGACTGGTCCGGTGAGCCGAGAGACTTACCAAAACTCGGCCGCCCAGGCATCCCCGTGCTCCTGTTCATGGGGAAGTGCGCGCCCCAGGCAGCGACTGCGGGGGAACAGAGCAGTCAGTGCGGCTGGCTCCACAGGCCGCCCAGACCCACGTGAGGTCCTGGACCAGGCACGGGGGCCCCGCAGAGGACCCCTGGGGAGCCAGAGATGCAGCCCAAACGGGCCGTAAATGAGACAGGGAGGTTGTCCTGGGGGGCAAGCGGACTCGGGGAGAGGGCTCCTGGGAGGTGTCCACCGAGGGACAGTGGCCCAGGTGTGGGGACAACAGCGAGAACTCCCACCCTTTCCTCCAGAACGTGGAGGTGTGGACCCTTGGTGAGCAGCAGGCAGGGGGAGGGGTGGGGGGACATACAGCCTCTGCACTCGGAGCTGTTGTGAGTCCCGTTCCTGCAGCGGATGCAGCTGACGGTCCCGTCCTCGGCCCGGTGCCCGTAGCAGCCTGTGCCAGGAGACAGGAGGCTCGGCTCAAAGCAAGCCCAGCCAGCCGGCTGCCTTCGGGGAGCGCTATGCTTTGAGTTGTAAAACCACATTCATTCCAGGACGCTAGTTCACCCACTCTGGAGCTTGGATGGACTTCAGAACAAGAACCGCCTCCGCGGGAACCGCAGCCAGCCCTCTCTCGCACGGGCATTCCCACCGGCCCCTTGCCAGGTGCCTCGGAAAGGGCTGCAGAGGCCCGGATGGGGACCCGACACTGACAGGTGCCGAGTATACACGCTGGAGGGGACGAGAGGCGAGCCCCACCTCCCACATCCACCAGGGGCTGCAGCGCACTCCCACTCGGCCGCCACGAGGGACAAGGGGCATCTGCGCCAGTGTGCTGCCGCCTGCCCCCCGCCCCCGGGCGGCCCAAGCACACTCGACCCGCGTTCCTGCCCTGCCCAACGCCACGGCCAGCGGCCTCCCCACAGCCTGCGGCCCGACCTGGGGCTGGGAGCTGTCCAGCGCTTGCCAGCCGGCGGTCTGCAGGCAGTCCACCTGGCCCACTACACCCTTTAAGGGCAGAGATTGCGTCTTACACCTTTATTTCTTCTCAACACCCCGGCACGTAGCACGGGCTGAGAGAACGTACTGGAGAAATATTGGTTGCAGGTGCTGGAGGCCGGCACAGACTTGACCAGCACGCAGTCTGCACACAAACGGGTCCCCTCAGAGGAAGGCCTTCCTGCTGTGACGCCAAGCAGGTGGCAGGGTCTGAAGAGTGACGGGGGCGCACGGGCTGAGCGCCGTGCCAGGAGGCCACGTCAGACCCAACGTGGAATCATACAAGTATCAGGAACAGGCCTTCGTTTCTCGTAAGACCAGGGCTTCTCTTCTGAAGTAGTTGGGCTCTTTCCCTTCATTCGGCATTTCTTGGGAGGGGCTGACCTCTGGGGGGGCTGATCGAGGAGGCCTAGGAACATGGGGTCCTGGGTACAGACCTGTCGCCAAGGCAACGATTCTCCCGAGAGCTCCCTCCGCCAGCCCCAAGGTACCTGGGCTCCTTGGTGAAGCCGCCAGGGCTGCTGGCCACAAGGAGGCCCTGTGCTGTGTGTGCAGGAACAAAGCACAGCTGGGGACCAGGCCCAGTAACCAGATCTAAGGAGCGAAGGCTGACTTTGCTGAGCCTTAAAGCCCCTTGAAAAGCAGCGCAGGGCCTGGCTCACTGGGTCCCCTGCCTTGCCCAGTGAGTAAGGAAGGTCACCGCCCGGCAGGACCAGGGACCTCAGGAAGAGAGGAGTTCACGCAAACCTAGAGGTACTGCAGGCAAAGTCTGGAGCTGAGTCCTTGGCTCGGCCTCCTGGACTCAAGAGGCCCTGGGAAAAGGCCAGCAAAGCAGACTTCAAAAGCGCCTGGTGGTCAGTCGCTGTTGTGGCTAAATTTCCTTCAACAATCAGGCCAAGTTTAGTGAGGCTGGGCTTATTTGTAAGACAGTTAGTGTCACTGTGACTCTCTTTGGTAGAAAGCGGGCTGGCTGCGGAGAGAAGTGGCCTTTCAGTAGGAAACTCTGATCTGCCTGATGGAGCAGATTCCAGTCCTGACCCGGGCCTCGAGGCCCAGCCGCCTGTAAACTGGACCGGGTGCTGAAATCTCCCAGTCTCCCCCACTGTCTGTCTCTGACCCTCCATACTAACGTTTCCGCTTCTCTCCCACCCTTCTGACCTGGTATCACAAGGACCAGAACTGCCGTTTCCCAAAGCCCTGCAAACTGATGTGAACTTCAGGCAGTCACCTCGACAGATTGCGGCAACGGCGGGCCACTGGGAAAGTTCCTGAGACTAGGGCTGCGTCGAGGGTCTCCACGCTGTCCCCGCCCCACCTACTGCCCACACACGGGGGTTTCTCTGGTGGGAGCCCACCCACAATCCTCTTCCTGAGCTGAGTGTGACGGGATGGGCTGTCCCAGGACCGAGGGTCAGTGAGACACGGGAGCTCGTGCTCATCTGGATCCTTTCTGCTCGTTCCATCTGTTTCCCCTCCCCTTTGCCGACCTCCTATCCCACAACTTCTAACCCAAATCTCTCCACAGCTACCAACTTGGCTTTTAATATGAGAAACTTTCTGAAGGTAAAGTCTCAAGTGGGGAGGAGACAAACCCCATATGGGAGCTGCCCCCCGCCCCCCAACCGGGAGAAGACGGGAGTCGGGCGACCATGTTACAGTCATCCCCGTCTCCCTTCGGCTGCCCCAGTGTTTTAGCCACTTGCCCACAATCGCCTCCTTGTTCAACCTGATGTGTAAGCGCTGATTCTGCCACTTACTTGGGACTCCACTTCCTCCCATGTCCTGTAAAACCTGTACACGTTTCTGTACTTTGCTGCTCCTGTCTTATGTCAGCTTACCTCAGGGCAGCTGAAACTCCCTGCGAGGGAAGAGGCAGTCTTACCTGCCCCCACCCCGCAGGCCTGGAGCCACCGTGTCCTCCTGGGGTCCTGCCCCCACCTCCCAGGACGAGGCCCCATCACGCTCGCTGCCTCTGCCCACCCCTCTGGCCCCTCCTTCCCGAGGCCATCTAGGCTTGCTCATGCCAAAGCTCACCTGGGCCACACAGGTTAGTGCCTGGGCAGGTGGCGTTGGTGTCCACCACGTCCACACAACACTTGGGCTGCTGGCCCTAGAGGGGAGATAGTGGTGAGTTTCCAGACCCTGCGGCCGGGCAGCTTGTGCGGGCCAGGCCCAGGGCGATATCCGCAGAGGGGCTCCCGGCAAGCTCACCCCAACACCTGGGGCTCTGGCCTCTTGTAGTCAGCGTCCGGTGACTGTGCCTCGCTGACCCAGAGCAAGGTGAGGACGCACGGCCACACCGCACAGACGCTCCCTGGGACAGCACTTGGTGTCCGGCGAGCGTTTGGTGACTGAACCAACAACCGAAGTGTTGGGCTGGGACCTGCCAGGGCACATTCCGTGGCACCTGGACTCCCAAAGGCAGGAATCCCTCGGGGGATCCCTTGGGGCCCACCCAGAGATTCTGTTGGGGGTGGGCTGGAGCAGCCTGGTGGGCAGGGGGTGGTCCTCTCCTCCACTGCCCGCCCACCCTCCCCTTGGGGCCTCCCTGCAGCCCCTTCTTTTCTCACGGGGTCTCCTGGGTCATGGGAGCCGCCACCTCCCGCCTCGTGGCCACAGGGCAGGCATTTCAGCCGTGAACTTATTTACATTAGTCGCCACTTGCAGCTGGTGGCTTTGAAAATCAAAAGACGAAGCTGCTAAGAAAGGAAGCACATGTTTCTGGGCAGTTGTGAAACAGGAAGATAACTCCAGGCCCCCTCGGCCTCCCTAGTGAGAGGCCTGTGCAGCCCTCACAGCGCGTCTGCCCGCGCTCCCGACCAAACAGCCCACATTCCTGGACGCTTCTGCGATGCTTCTGCAAGTCTACAGGCACCTCCATCGGGGGTCCAGCTCGGCCCCCACAGAGGAAAGGCCAGGTCCACGCGCAGGAGTGGGCGCTGCGGGCACTGCACTCACAGACCAGGCGGCGGCAGGGGCCTCGGGAGGCGTCCGGGCAGCTCCGCTCCGTGCGCTCAGCCCAGCCGAGCTGGTTTCCCAGGACTGGCACGCTGTGACTTGCAAGGGGCACCTCAGGGCGGCTGAGGAATGGTGGGCGCATCCTGGACTCCAGGGGGCCGAGGCCAAGCCCGAGGGGGAAGCCTGGCCGTCCTGTCCCACCCAACCCGGCAGGGGCAGAGTGGCTGGAAGGCTCACCATCCTGGAGGACGAGCAGCTGGGTGTGTGCACACATGGCCGGGCACCTCCAGAAACCACAGCCTGGCACACCTGTGTCACCGGCTTGGGAGAGCCATGACCTGGCCGAGTCTGAGCCTGAAGTGGGCGTCTCTGTCCGCCCCACTAGCTGTGGCCAGTGCCAGTGGGGGCAGCTCTGTGGAGACCCTATTTCAGCTCCAGAAAGAGGTCTAGTTGGGCAGAGGGAAAGGAGGTTCTAGCAGGCAGAGTGGAGCGGGTGCCAGGGGCGGGGCTGTGCATCTGCTGCCCTCCCAGAGGCACAGGCCCCTCTGACCCTGGCAGTGGGCACGGCCAGCATCTCGGGGGCCGGGACAAGGGTGGCACCTAGAGGTGGAAGGGCGAGCCCCTGGGTGAAGAGCCCACGAGCCACGTGCTGGGTGCTCACCGCACTTCCTGAGGATCTACTGGCAACTTCCACCAGGAGGCTGGCCAGGAGGACGGCGCGCTGGAGCGCCATGTCCCGGAGCTCAGGGTCTGCGAGAGAGAGGGGTGCCGTGTGGCCACAGGCGACGCCTGGCAGGGCAGGGCACCGGGCGGGAGCCAGGGCGCAGGATGCTTACCTGGCCCTCCTGGAGGCCGGCAGACCCTCGGTCCGGGGCCTGCAAATCGAGGTGGATAGGTGAGGCCGTGCTGCTGGCCAAGCGCAGCCAAACCACGCCCGGGGCTCGGGGTCCAACTGGACTTTTCGTCAGGAACCCCCACGGCTCGGCCCACCCGGATCAGGATCTGATGGACTCACTCCCTCCTCCGCCAGTTTCCCACCGTTTGCTGCTGCTTCCAGGAAGAAGGACTGAGCAGAGAGGGTCTGGGTGAGCCAGTCCTGCCCCAGAGCTCGGACGGCCCTCCCACCCGCCATCTCATCCTGTCCTCATAAGACCCGAATTCGATTTCCAGTATTTTCACCCAGAGACGGAATGGCAAGGGTGCCTCTGGGGCGGCCAGGCTGGTCAGGACCCCTCGGTCTTAACAGTTTTGTGCCGTTGGCCCTGTTGTCATCACGGGAGGGTGTGTGGAAAACACCCAGCTGGGGCACTAAAAGCCGTGACACAGGCAGTACTGGGTGCAGGTGCCTCTGGCGGGTGATGGATCCAGAGAGCAAACAGACTGCAAGTAAACGTCCTAACGCTAAAACCACACGAAACGCGACAGCCCACGCGATTCAGCGCTCACGGTGCCACACTTCTAACGTAACCGGGGAAACACACCGGCCTGCACAACCCCGGAAGTAAATCGTGAGTCGGGTTTTTATTCTGAAAGGTGGGAACTACAATTATAATCTGTCCCAAACACATAAAAGTCACCTCTAAAAACACTTTTTTCTTAACAAAAACAGCTGCAGGGTGGAGCTGCACGTGAGGGGGGCTGGTTCAGGTTCCACAGAGGGCGCGCTTGGGGCTGGGGGGCGAGAAGCCCCTCCGCCCACTGGCCCAGGGCCTGGGGGTCCCGGGCTGGGGTCTGTCCTGCCATTCGCTCTGTGCTGCCTTTAGTCCAGGCTGATGGAGCAGACGCCGCCCCCCACGTCAAGTCCCCCCATTAAAAACACCTGCTCTTGGGCTTCCCTGGTGGCGCAGTGGTTGGGAGTCCGCCTGCTGATGCAGGGGACACGGGTTCGTGCCCCGGTCCAGGAGGATCCCACATGCCGCGGAGCGGCTGGGCCCGTGAGCCATGGCCGCTGAGCCTGTGCGTCCGGAGCCTGTGCTCCGCGACGGGAGAGGCCACAATGGTGAGAGGCCCGCGTACCGCAAAAACAAAAAGAACACCTGCTCTTTCCTGCGGCACCATCCCCTTTCTAGAATGTGAAATCCCCTCAGGTGGCAACTACTGGTGTCACAGCCGCATTGATACCTTTGATTCAGGAATCAGGTCTCAGTCAACACCTCTGTCTGCTACTCAGTGGACACGACTGAGTACGGTGTCCACACCGTGCGGCCCCTCCACGGCCCCCGCCTGCCCGGCCAAGCCCTGCCGCTGCATGTGGACGGTGTCTTCTGGAATTTCAGGAGAACGGACCACACTGTCCGCGCACCTTGTGTCGGGCTCCTGCCCTTCAGCATGGCCACAGCGATCTTCAGATTCCTCCATACTTTGCCCTCTCGTGGCTGAGTGGCATCCACTGCGAGGACACTTCCCTTGCCCGCTGCCTGCTGATGGCCATGTGGCTGTTTCCACATTTTGGTGGCTAACGCTGCTGGGGACGTTCTTGGGCCCGTTCCTGCACAGTCGCTTGCTTTCCTTCCTCTTGGGTAAATACTTGGAAGCACCAGGTCAAGGGGACTCTCTGGGAAGCTGCCCTGCTATTCTCGGGCAGCGGCTCCGTGTGCAGTGGCTGGCTCACCTGCTCTGGCCCTGCCAGCTAGTGGCCTCGCACCGGCGGCCGGGCAGCGGTTCTCCTGCTGTTCCAACCTGCGTTTCCCTGGTAACTAGCGACAGTCAGCACCTCTGTCCTGCTTGTCAGCCATTCACACATCTTACATCTCTCATAATGTGTCTGTTCACATCTTTGGGCCACGCTGTTCGGCTGGGCCATCTGTCTATTATTACGTGCTAACTCTTCATGTATTTTGTCAGATATATGTACTGTAAATATTTTCTCCCATTTTGTGACTTGTCTTTTCATTTTCTAACGGGTATCTTCAGAAGAGCAAATGTTTTCATTTTGGTAAAATCGAATGCATCCATTTTTTCTTTTATGGTTCTTGCTTTTTGCGTCCTAAGAAATCTCTGCCTTGACCTCAGGGTCATAAGGATTTCCTGTGTTTTCTTTGAGTTACTTTTGTGTCATGGTGTGAAGTAAAGATCAAGTTCATTTTTCTTCCCTATGTATATCCAGTTGTAGCACCATGTGTTAAAAAGGCTTTCCTTTTCATATTACATTCTCTTGACATCCTTGTTGAAAATCAATTGTCTGTGTGTGGGTCTACTTCTGGACTTCCTATTCTGTTCCGTTCATCTGTGTGTCACCAGTACCACACAGTCTCAACTACTGAAGCTTTACAGAAAGTCTGAAGTCAGGCAGAGTGAAGCCCTGCTTTGTGTAATTGCTTTGGCAATTCCAGGTCACCTGCATTTCCATGTTTTAGAATCATCTTGTCAATTACTACAAAAAGCCTTCTGGAATCTTGACTGGGATAACTGACATTTTAACAATATTGAGTCTTCTAATCTACAAACATGCTCTCTCTCCATTTCTTCAAGTTGTCTTTGTTTATTTTTTAAAATATTTATTTGGCTGCGCCGGGTCTTAGTTGTGGCACGCGGGATCTTTTTTTAGTTGCGGCATGTGGGACGAGTTCCCTGACCAGGAATTGAACCCGGGCCCCCTGCACTGGGAGCACAGAGTCTTAGCCACTGGACGACCAGGGAAGTCCCTTCAAGTTGTCTTTAATTTCTCTCAGCAATGTTCTGTGGCTTTCAGTGAAGAGGCGCTCTTACACATCTTTTGTTAAACATATTACTAAATATTTTGTCTTTGGGTATTATTGTAAATATAATTAACTCTCTAATTTCTTTTTTCTTTCTTTTTTTTGAACAACACTTGAATGACCTTTAATGTGCTTAGAACAAATCACTTTACAAAAAGCACGAACACTTTTTAAAACATAACTTTGGGGACTTCCCTGGTGGCGCAGTAGTTAAGAATCTGCCTGCCAATGCAGGGGACACGGGTTCGAGCCCTGGTCTGGGAAGATCCCACATGCCGCGGAGCAACTAAGCCCGTGAGCCGCAACTGCTGAGCCCGCATGCTGCAACTACTGAAGCCCACACGCCTAGAGCCCGTGCTCTGCAACAAGAGAAGCCACTGCAGTGAGAAGCCCACGCATCACAACAAAGAGTAGCCCCTTCTCGCCGCAACTAGAGAAAGCCCACACGCAGCAATGAAGACCCAACACAGCCAAAAATAAACAAATTAATCTTTTTAAAAAGTAACTTTGGACACTACACAAATTAAAATAATAACAACACAGTCGCACGGTCTGATCCTCTAAAGTGGACTTTAGGAATCTCTGAGCAATTTACTAGAATTCTAAATGTTCATCCAATGAGCCTAGGTATGTTTCTACAGATCTGAATGTTGCTCTGAGAACAGGTGCTCAAAGACGAGTTCCCTCTGTCAATCTCCACAGTTTTCCAAGGTCAAGTCACCTGTGAGCCCATCTTCAACCTCACTCCTTAAAAGTGTCCTATGAAATAAACCAGCAGGAAGTACTGGGCAGAAACTGATTCCCAGGAGACATACAGATAAGCAAGTCAAACATGAAACATTCTATTTGAAAGAGATAAAAAGCAAAGAAAGATGCACCAATACACGTCGTTCAAGGAATAGAAGTTTCTACTAAAAGGCAGAAGTTGCACAGCAGCAGTTACGACTTTTAATGGTATTTTGTTACATGGGAAGACATATCCTGCCATATACCTTGCAGGGAAACTTTCAAGAGGGGTCATGCCTAATCTATCCCATAAACTTAAAAATGGCCAAATCTGAAACTCACCAAGCCATTTTGGAGACGGGGAGCAGGGCCACAGGCGTTAGGTGCCGGCGTTTATGGCCATCAGGAGTCAGCGTTTTATTCACTAGCCCCTGGCTGAAGCACTCTACCCTTTACTAAAGGACTTCATCCTCTTGCTAAAAACCCACGCCATCAAATGTCCCCCTGTTCTAACCACAAAGCGGTCTGCAACGTAAGCCACCTGCTCCTCTGTTTTCCTTGAGGCCAGATTATCACCGGCCAGGACTTCTGTATAAGGACCTTCCCCACGCTTGAAGTGGTAATTAAGTCAACCGCAGGCCAAGCTCTTTAACGTTTTCTCTGTCGGGATTACTTCTCTGCGCCTGCTCTGCACCTCTCGGGCTGGGCAGCCCCGGATGTGCTAACTGTCCTAACAGAGGTATGTCCACAGGGTAACCTGAGCCAATGCTGACTGTCATGGTGACGCGACATCAGAAAGTTTGAAAAGCAGAGTGGGAACTGCAAACCCACGTGAACGGTTCAGGTTAAAACGGTCAAGTTCAGAGTAATACTGGCAGACAGGGAGGAAAACAGCGTGCGAAAAGATGGTCTAATTCACCTGCGTGAGTCGACCACACTTGGTAAGGCGGTGGGACTAGAAGTGGAGAACGGAGAGGAACACTGAGGGGAAAGAGCCCACAATGGAAAGCAACGGCAACTCAAGGCCAGAGGAACAGAAGCACCTCAGTCTGTGCTCCTGCAAAATGTACACGGCGGCCTTCCGACTCTCGCGCTTAACAAGGCGCGTTGCCTCGAGCCCGCAGGAGGAAGCGGTGAAGGGCGCAACATGCCAGAGGTTTTCCAGGGTAATTTCAGGCTCTGCAGCCCCAGCTCTCAGACAGCGGCAGTCTGATTCTGCTATGTCTTGTCCTCCTCTTGAACTTTGTCCACGTGTCCCGCTTCTGGTGGTCCCTCCTCCTCCTTCCTTCAGCCTCCTCCCCCAGCGTGGCTGGTGCGGACCTCCGCCAGCCCCTCGCAGCAGCAGCGCCGCACCTCCACCGGCCCCTGCTGCCCGGGGACTGAGCCGTTCACTGGCTCGCAGTTCCCCCTTTCCGGACTCCCAGGGGCTGCGGTGGCCTCTAATTGCATTTCGTAACGGTCTGCTGTTAGCATACAAAAATACAAGTAAAATTTGCGCATTAACCTTGAGCTCTGAGATTTTGCTAAATTCACTTAATAGTTCTAGCAGTTTTCACAGATTTCTTAGTGTCTTCTATAGAATCATGTCCTACGCAAATAAACACAGCTGTACACCACTTTGCTTAGAAACTTGTTTCAGGGCACAGCAGCTGGTCTTTGCTAGAGAATGCACTTAGAAGGAACTTGTGTTCTGCTCCTGATGGGTGTGGCTTCCACAAATATCAATCAGCTCAAGATGCTTGGGAGCACTGTTCAGATCCTCTGTCTTTACTGATTTCTTTAGGTCTTTTGTTCTAATAACTGGTGAGAGAAAGATGCTAAAATTGCCTACTATGATTGCTTATTACTCCCTTTATTGGGTGCATTCATAATTGATGTTTTCCTGATGAAACAACCTCTTTATTATTAGAATTTCCTCGTTCTCTTTAGTAATACTCCATATTGTGAATCTACCTTATCTGATATTAATATAGCCACTCCAGCCTTCTTACGCTATTTGTATACATACACATTTTGCATTCACTTATTTTCAACCTGTGTTTTTGATATTTAAAGTGAATCTCGGGCTTCCCTGGTGGCGCAGTTCTTGAGAATCTGCCTGCCAATGCAGGGGACAAGGGTTCGAGCCCTGGTCTGGGAAGATCCCATGTGCCGCGGAGCAACTGGGCCCGTGAGCCACAACTACTGAGCCTGCGCGTCTGGAGCCTGTGCTCCGCAACAAGAGAGGCCGCGGCAGTGAGAGCCCCGCGCACCACGATGAAGAGTGGCCCTCGCTCGCCGCAACTAGAGAAAGCCCTCGCACAGAAACGAAGACCCAACACAGACCCAAAAATTAATAAATAAATAATTTTAAAGTGAATCTCCCACAGACAGCATGTAGTAGGGTCTTGCTTATTTACGCATTCTGATAATCTCTACCTTTTAAGTGGAGAGTTTAGTCCATTAACATTTAATTTAATTATCACTGTGGTTAGACTTAGGTCTACCATTTTATTAT